CATAGACAGGATATTCTTGATGCTATTAATGAATTCTTGGATGAAAGTATTGTTTTACCTCCTGGTGACTGGAATAGAGATACATTATTACCCATAGCAAGAGTGCACAGAAAGAAAATGAAGTGGAAGCAGATGTTAAAAGAAAGGGAAGAAAATGCCTCACGAAGTATGATACTTCAATATATATATCTACTGTGTTTCCAATTGCTTGGTGGGGGGGGGGGGGTCAAATTAACATTGAATCACTTTAATGCACATGTTTGATGATATTCAATTTATTTTTGACTCTCTTGTGCGAAGCACACAATGGAGTCTTTGCAGTTAGTCTGTCTTCACAATGTTTCATTAATTATATTAATATTTAATCAAATTTTAGTCAAGTTTGCGAAGTTTAGGTTTAGTAAAGGGTAAGGTATAGTTCAATTTATATTAATATAATTGTACCATACCTTCCCCCGATACTAAACCTAAGCTTCGTAAACATTTCTATGTTCAGTCATATTCTATATTCAAGTTTTGTTTAATTAAACTTAATTAAAATGCAATTCTATGTTTTATTGCATTGTAATTGAGTTTAATTAAACTCCAATTGAACTCAACCCTATATAGGAACGCGTTTTAATCGAGTTTACAAAAGTTAATTCAATGTGTGGCGTCACAACTACTGTTACACCAGTATGTGCTTGTCTGTGTTTGTCCGTTCCACTGATATCTCAAGAACTGTATTGTGGTTTTTAGTTAAACTTGGTACATAGATACTCTGGGGTAATGCGCAGATTTGATTATGGTTTGGTTGAAATTTATGCATATTAGTTACCTTATTTGCATTATGATTAGCTAATTTTTAGCTGTTCCATGACTGTTCCACTGATATCTCAAGAGCCATTCATTGGATTTTGATGAAACTTGGTACGTAGATGCTCTGGACTAATGCACAGATTTGATTAGTTTTGGGTGAAAATCCATGCATATAATTAACCTAATTTGCATAATGATTAGTAAATTTTCGTCTTTTCCACAGATATCTCAGGTACTAATCATCACATTTCAATGAAACTTGCATACATACATAGGACAATGCACAGACAGATCTGTGAAGTATCAATTACTAATTTGCATAATTAATCAATTTTCAGCTTTTGATATTCCAAGTAGTATTACTTCATTACTTTTCAATGAAACTTGGTACATAGATGCTGTAGAACAATCCAGAGACCTGATTATTTTTATGTGTGCGAGATTAGATTTATAGAATATACATGTCCGCTTAACATGAAGCGCAGGAGACATTTTATTAGTTCACCCATTTCTTGTTTACCGATCTTTAAAACAATCCAAAAATGATGCCTTAATTAAAGTATTTTCGATATATGATGTAAATTTTACTTCATCTGATTTTCCTTTAGATGTGACACGCAGAGATTCCAAGCATCCTGATAATATCGATCCACTTAAAAGAACCGGTTGTTTATTTGGTGGTATGGTTAATGACATCAGAAGACGTTTTCCCCGATATTCAAGTGATTTTAAAGATGCCTTTAATTTACAATCTTTTGCTGCTGTGATATTTATTTACTTTGCTGCTCTTTCTCCTGCCATCACATTTGGAGGTCTTCTTGGTAAGTAAGAATAATTTCATAAATCAAATCATTATATTTGGAATACAAAACTTGTTCAGGCTGTGAGTGAAATTCGTTTTGTTAAAGTGAAGAATAAGCTATAAACAAGCAGACATTCATTAAAATAGGAGGTTCCTATGAATCATTTTTTTTTATGGTGTCGACCAAACTATGCACCTTGCATGTGAAGCAAAATGCAATGGTCTGGAGGGTTCTTCCAGCTAACAAAAAAGCTGTTAAAAGTTCACAATAGGTAGAGCTTCTAATGTCCGAGACGTGGTTGGTTCATAATTGACAAATGACATAAGCAAATTATTTTTTCATTGGTATATAATTATTCAAGGTGCTCAATGTACCAAGTTTTGTTTATGAAATTGAAGTGCAGCACACATTCACAGTAAGACTATCAGTATAGCCAGTTTTATTTGGTGTCTCATGCAAGACTGTAGGTCAAATAAACAACATGCTTTACAGTTCCCCAACTTGTCATCATGGCTCTTTCCCCGTTGTCAGAATATGAGGGAAGTTCTGGTAGGTCTGCAGGTCCTCAGGTGGCTGAACAGTTCTATCCTTGACCTGCATACCCTATTGCACTGCTGACAGGTGAACTGGGTCGAAGACACATTCTGGTCAGCTGCCTCCTTTCTCCTTTTCATTCCATCTTCAGCATGGTTTTGTTGCATTTTCTCAAGGGTCTCTGCATCCCACCTTGTCAAAGTTCTCCAGTTGGCTCTGCTATGTTTTCCCAGTCCAATTCAGGAATGTCAGTCGCTTTGAGCTGTTGTTTTAGCTGGTCTTTGTAACGCTTTCTTTGGAGCACCTATGGAACATTACCCTAGGCAGAGTTCGCTGAAAACAGCCTTTGGCATTCTGGTGTCTTGCATCCGTGCCAGGTGACCTGCCCAGCGCAGCTGTCTGGACATGAGCATGGCCTCAGTGCTGCAGATGTTGGATCGCTTCAGAACCTTGTTTATTATAAAATCCTGCTCTTGCCTACTCATTTACTCTAATATTATTAATCCATTTAATATTTGTTTCTTTATTTATACTATAGGTGAGAAGACTGATAAATGGATGGGTGTAAGTGAAATGGTAGTAGGTACTGCTGTCTGTGGTGTTATATTTGCTCTATTTTCAGCACAACCATTACATATAATAGGAGCTACAGGTCCTGTTCTTATATTTGAGGAAGCAGTATATCAGGTAAGTTAATTCAGACAACTGGTTCGGGGAGATAAAATTGATTGAATCCCAGAGTACATTAACATAACCAGGCTGTGAAGGTCTAAAGACAGTACATACTAATTGAAGCTGTTTCTTGAATGAATTTGTTGTGTGATACATCTTGTTCAAGTTGGAAACTCCAGTCAATGAAATTGCTCAGCTTGGTCAGTATACCCAATTGTTTCAGATACCTGTGTCTGAGTGCTATGGAATACATTAATTGTTTCAGATACCTGTGTCTGAGTGCTATGGAATACATTAATTGTTTCAGATACCTGTGTCTGAGTGCTATGGAATACATTAATTAACTGTTTATCCACAGCCATATATGACGAAACTTTTTATTATGTTTATATGGTTTATATACGTTTATAAATTAAATAAACTCCATGATGTTGAAACACTGGCAAGATTACGGCGTAGTTGCCACAAAAACAGATTGAAGTAGGAAGACATACTTGTCCAAAACACCACTCAGCAATACGATGAATTTAACAAAATATTTACTAATTTACATGAAATGAACAAAACAGAAAATTTCAAAACAATCATCAACGTATCAGATATTCATTTACTGAAAACACTAATCCAATACATTGATTGTGTAAACTTGAAAAGAAGCATTTAGTAACTTTATTTGTTTGATATTTTTATTTTAATTAATTTGTTTATTAATTTAACTCTATTATTCAGAGCCTAAAGAGATTGTAGTTTCTTTACGGTGATAATAAAGTGTTATTGTTGTTGTTATGGTAACTAATGTTTGTAACTATTGTGACTATTGAAATATTATTTTGTTCTTCTGTCACTACCTCGTGTGTTTTATATTGATGCTACGCCTAGATTTGCGTAATACTGTTAAAAAAAAAAACTTGGACAAAAACATTGTTGAAAACTGTATTTCATGTGAATGATCTTGAATAAATAATCCTGTAATGATTTTCTTCTTTCAGTTTTGTGAAACCAGCAATATAGAGTTCTTGCCATTTCGTGCCTGGATCGGTATATGGGTGTTTCTCGTTACTGTCATTGTAGTGGCATTCGAAGGAAGCACCTTGGTTCGATATTTTACAAGATTTACAGAAGAGATATTTACTGCATTGGTATCTCTTATATTTATATTTGAAGTATTTAAGAAACTTGCATTGGTATGTATCGATATGTTGCATTATTACACATCACTGGACAAATGCACCAACATATGCACCAACACAAAGTGTCTGCCCTCGGTTTGTGAATTTTAACATTTTCAGCGTCTTTGTTTCATTCACACTTGTTCTGTGAGGTATCAATACAATGATTCTATATACTGGATTTTGGTTGCACCTTACATTTTTTAGTGATAATAAAACCATATATGCTCAGTCCATTACAGTACAGCAACAACTGATTGCATCACAGCACTATATAGCCAAATGTACACTCCTACATTGCTGCTAGGTGACCGCAGACATGGACTGTGCTTTGCTGTTGTGTGTTGCATTTAACATTGCTCCATTTCGAGCAAGTTTTCTTTGTGGTGTTGTTAGAAAAAAAATCAGTCCCACACCAATGGTAAAGGATGAGATTTCCACAACTCGTTGGGAATTGTTGTCTGGCACTGAATTAACAGTACTGGTAGTGTTGACTTTGTGAATATAAGGGTTAGGTCATTCAACTTAAATTAACAGCATGGATAAATTCAACACTTTTGTTTCGGTATTGCCGTACATAATTCACACTCTACATTACACCTGTTTTTGAATTCATTTAAATTGTTTCTTTATGGTTGGGAGAAGGGAAATTTTCATTATTTTCTTGAATTTTCAAAAATCGATAAAACATCACCCCAGCTTTTCAAAAAATGGAAAATTTATGATGATATCTATAATTCTCTAATTGAAATATGCATTGCTAACAGTGGAGCTATCTGTTGAGACTGCTTGTTTCCTACATTCTAATTAGATGATTACTATCAAACTTGTATATATGGTTGATTTGTATGCATAAATTACCTTCACCACCCTGTACTATGATCTTTTCTAACCTTTGTAGTCCATCTCCGTGATTATGCTGTGATCAGCCCCACCTATGTAATGATATCGCCACTCCATGCTGTGATCAGCCCCACCTATGTAATGATATCGCCACTCCATGCTGTGATTAGCCCCACCTATGTAATGATATCGCCACTCCATGCTGTGATCAGCCCCACCTATGTAATGATATCGCCACTCCATGCTGTGATCAGCCCCACCTATGTAATGATATCGCCACTCCATGCTATGATCTGACCACCCTTACATTTACAGGGCAAGCCATGTGTAGTTTAACTATTATTCTTTATTTCTCTATTTCAGATTTTCGAAACCCATCCATTGTTAGATGATTATTGCTGGGATGAAGACTATATGTATGATAATATATATAATACAACAAACCATACCACAACATTGACAGAAAGTTATGAAAATGCAGTTACTGCTCCGTCTAATATCTCCATACCCATGGTCCCTATTCAAGACATAGCAAAGCCTGTCAATCAACCAAACACAGCTCTGCTTTCCACTATCCTAACATTAGGAACATTTTTTATTGCTTATTTTTTTCGGAAATTTAGGAATAGCAGGTTCCTGTCAAACATGGTGAGTATTCTAATATATTTTAGTTGTCCGTGCCTCAGCATTTTGTCAAATTTTATATTTTAGTCTTGTACTTCAGATGCATCATGTGTGTTCATTATGGTGTTGATCATGTTGTGTTATAAAATTTGTGAGAATGCAGGGAAGAAAATAATTTAGACTTTCTCTTCTTAAGGATGAGATCCTTGTGACTCGTCTATTCTTCACCATCATTGCATCCATTGTTGTGTTGACCTATGGCGACAGAGAATGGGACACTATTAGGGCAACAAATTAAAACAAGTTGGGTGGCTCTTTGTCTTCCAACGTGATCTCAGTGACCATTTAAAAAGGAGGTTTATTGTGGAGTTATGTCTACCATTATGTATATTGTGTTTTTATAGCCAATGAAATGAGTTTGTTTGTTTGTTTGATCTCTGCCAATCTTTCCTCAGGTGTGCAAACATCCACAGTCACACATGTTCGTAGATTTAACACATGCGTGAAGTTTCACTAATATTATCACTGTTTTTTACAAAAATAATAATTTTTTTACTTCTAAGGTACGTAAAATGTTACAAGATTTTGGTGTACTTATTGCAATTGTTACAATGGTATTAGTAGATGTTTCAATAAAAAATGTCTATACACAGGTAGGTTGAGTTTTCCCAATAGATTACTTCCTAGCAATGTGGTTGCTCTAATGTAAATGTGAATAGAACATTTTTCATTCATTGCAAGATCCCATGTTATGCGAAAAATTAAATAGGAAAAAAAAAGTACAAACAAAGCAAAACATGTGGTTGGATTTGACAAACGTAAAACATGTGTATGTGTGCTTGTCCGTATTCAGTCATATCTCATACATGTTTGGGTCAAACCAGTTCAAACATCTTACATACATTAGACATTATATCAGATATATGAGCATGAATTTGTTTCATGATTCAATTCTAGGTGGCCGATTTTTTGGGTATTTCCATGCTTAATAATGTGCTATACACATTTGATGTTTTTGATGAAGTAAAAGTTATCTCAATGCTATTACCCTCTCAGAAAGATTGGAATGAGCTATTTGATTTGTACAATAGCGTACGACAAAAACAAAACTATATATCTTAAATTTCATAACTAACTGGCGACTGTGCCATGCATGGCTTGTTTAATCTAAGATTTTCATAAGAATTAGTTAAAGTACTGAGACATTTCACAAAATATAGGTTCTTTGCATATGATGACACATTACCACAAATTGTTCTTTATTGTCAAGATGTTAGCATATTCCCAATATGTAAAGGGTATATTCTAATGGCTAGAAAGATTAAACAATAGTTTCTCTTCTGGTAATAATATTATCCACTTTCAACAGTTGGTTAAAATGAGAAACAAAATATTACTCTTTTTTTTTTTTCAAGAGAACTTGCTTTTGAAATCTGCCACACAAGATTAGAATCATTAATGTCACCTGTCACATGACAAATATAATCTACGGTACATTACCACATGCTGATGTCTTTGTTACAGAAACTGGAGGTACCAGATGGTATCACGCCCACCGCACCGCAAAAGAGAGGCTGGTTTATAAACCCATTCGGTTTGCAAACTACTATACAAACTTGGGTAATATTTGCAGCATTAATACCGGCACTATTAGTCTTCATTCTTTTGTATATGGAAACACTTATTACAGAGTAAGTAAACTGAAATTGTCACTGCTAAAAAAATGTCTTCCATGGAAATACTTTGGTCAGTAGAATTTTTGCCTTGTCGGGATCTCTGTAGATGAAAGGCAAGGTGAGGGGAAAAAAGTCTGTCCTTGTTCTTGTTCTTTCAAACTTGGATATTATGTTAACCAGTTTATTAATTTTCTCAGGGTTGTGGCTAATTTACATATTAAATTGCATACTAATTTACATAATGTATAGTAAGAAATAAGATATATATATACATACATACATACGTGGACAGAGAAATTAATTAAGACACGACTACATGAGTAAAGTTCACTCTACAGTACTGTTTCGTAAGGTACATGGAGTATCTCACTCATCAGGAGTTAAGACTTTATTAAATAAACCACCAAAACAGAATATGTTATAAGCGCTACAGATTTGCACAACAATGGAGTGTGTTTACGATATTAAAACTAGTTGTTGCATAACAACAATTTAGCTCTGTGTCTACAGGAAGAAAAAAGCTCATTTCTTTTATTAGTCCCCGTTCGGACGTAGTCCGAAAAGGGGGACTTATGTTTTGCCCTGTGTGCGTCCGTGCGTCCGTCCGTGCGTCCGTGATCACCTGTATCTCGAACATGCATGGACCGATTAAGTTCAAACTTCACTCATACATCACACATTATATGGGACATATGCACATGCATTTTTTTCATGATCCGATTAACGATAGCCGAATAGCGGCCATTTTAAGGCCGAAAATGCATCAAAATCGCACATTTTCACCATTCCGGACCCGGATCTCAGTTATGCATGGACGGATTTTGTTCAAATTTGGTACATACATTAAACATAATAGCACCTTGATGCACTTTATTTTTTTGTTGTTGGATTGGGCTTGAAATGGCCGACTGGCGGCCATTTTGTTTTAAAGAATTCAGTTCTGGATCCGTATCTGAGACATGCCTGGATTGATCGAGTTCAAACTTCACACACACAAGTACATCATGTCACAAATATGTATGTGCATTTGTTTGATGATCTCATTAACGATAGCCAAATGGCGGCCGCTTTAAGGCCGAAAATGCATTGAAATCGCACATTTTCACCATTCCGGACCCGGATCTCAGTTATGCATGGACGGATTTTGTTCAAATTTGGTGCAT